GTCTTTCCCAGCATCAGGGTCTTTGTGACTTCATGGTTCCAAAATGGCTGCTCCAGGCTTCACATCTTCATGGGGTAATATCCAAAGCAGGAAGCACAAGGCCTCTCCTCCTACATCTGTTTCTTATTATCAAGGTGTTCCTTAGAGAGTTCTTCTTACATTTCATTGGTCAGAACTATATGTGCAAGGGTATCTAAGAAAATATCTGCCATTTCCAACTTCTGTTGTTAGGGAGAGACTTCACTAGGAAGGAAGGAAGTGGTGGGAAATGGCTGCTACATAGGTAACAGTGTCTGCCATAGTGAGCTATTAAGCTTGGTTATCTCTGGACAATACCATTAATTGTCTTGTTAAAATAAGGTGATGCTCAGTGGTATTGCTGCTGATAGAAATTCAGAAAGCAGCCAGGTACAAACACCTGTCCAAAAGGTGGTGTCTAGTTCCATTTCTTTCTCAGTCCAAAGAGACATTATATATAAGTCTCTGCAGTGTATGTGTCTGTGTAAAATTGAGGTTTACAAAAGAACCAGTGATACGCTGGCATTGATTCTAGCTCTACTTGGTTCTTTTCAGCTCTTCAAAAATATATCCAAAGATGTTTTTACTTTGACTTTCTTCTTTTCATGGTAAGAAGACACTTCTTTAAACAGCTCATGAGCCAACACTAATGAATAACGCGATGGCCAAGACTAAAATGGATGCGCATGACTGCTTCACACCATCTGTGGGGAGCAGGCAGAGTTGGCCTACTTTTTCTTTAGTGCATGGCTTTGTTCTTATCTGTGAATGTTTGTAAGTAGAGGAATTTCAGTGCAGATGTGAAATTGCTTTTGAAATATGGGTGGTTTTTACAATTTGTGTGTGTTTTCTTTTTAAATAGAATCTTTTGTCTGGTGCTCACAGAAGGTGGAAAAAAGCCCAAAGAAAAAGAGATGAAGGTCCCATAATGCAGCGGCCCCTCCTTCAGTGCACGGATGTAAACTCGCAAATTCATGGGTGTGCTTGTGTGGAGGTACTGCTTACACTTTGCTGGACTGAAAGAATCCCTCAGACTACTGGGTGGTAGCAGGCTCTTGGTAAAGAAACCCAAGTTAACTGAGTTGGGTTTCATTCCCATCTCTGCCCAAGAGCTTCTTGGGCAAGGTCTTCTTCCTTCTGAACCTCAGTTTCCCCAACCTGGTCAAAATCAAATCCTATCTCTTAGGGTTTTGTATAAGAGACCTATAGGAGTTAAATGACTCAGATGACTTTCAAAGGTCCTTTCCATGAATCTGAAGATTGGAGTCTAGCCCCAGTATCATCATGATCTCCACTTTCTCCTCTGTCATTTTCTTCTCCAGCATCACCATCATCACCAGCATCATTGTCTCCTGAGTGTTATGTTGTACTCATCACTACCTGGAGTCCTCTACTATGTAAACTGATTGAATTCTCAGAGTAAACCTGCAAAGTGGGTATTTTTACTGACATATATCTACTCCTTAGGAGCCTGAGGCTCAGAGAGGATTTGCCCAGGATCATGCAGAAGACATGTGATGGAGTGAAGATGAGAACTCCAGCCCAGGATCTGTCTTGTTTAGAAATCACCCCATCCCTTCAGTTGTTTCAGATGCTTCTCAAGGTTGAGTCCTTCTTCCTCATATAAATACACCCTGGGGTCAGGAAGCTGGGATCCCAAGGACCAGGCCTAGGAAAATCTCTTGTGCAGGTGCAGTTGCTACAAGTTTCCTTTCATAATCAGATTATACTCCCGAGCAGGAGGAGAACAGGGGTCTTCTCCTCAAGCAGCCCCTTCCTCGAGTGGATTAGACTCTCACAGGAGGGCATCTGGAGTTTTTGCCTCTTCAGCACCCACACTTTTAGTGGCACCCACCTGTTTTCCTTTGGGGGAACTACCTCAACTCTTAGTCCATGTGTCTAGGGAGACTGACTCTGCTCCTTTCCCTCATCCTCCCTTCCACATCTGTGTGTCAGGGATGATCATTTGATCTGGTCTTGACCAATCAGAGCATTCCTTCCACTGGACTAAAGTCCAAGGCCAAGTGCACAAGTCATCTAATGATCCTGGGACTTTTGTGGAACTCCTGGAAAAGAAAAACTCCCCAGCATAAAACTGGTCACACAGTCTGTGATGAAAGATGGGCCTCTGTCCGAGAGAGCAGTGGGAGGACCCTCCATGGACTGTGTAGTCAAGGAAAAGCTCCTTGGAGGAAAAGTCACTTGAGATGAAGCTTAAACAACCCAAGCGTCCAGGCAGATCAGGAGCTAGAGGACGAACATCCTTGTGGGCATTGAAAGAGCACGTCTAAAGGTCCCAACTGGAAAATAAAGCAGTGTGTTCAAGAAACTAAACATGAGCTTGGACCTGGACTGTCCAGAGTGAGGGAGGAGAGTGTTTTGGATACATCAGAGATGTCAGTGAAGGTCGCTCAGTCGTGTCCAACTCTTCGCAACTCCATGGACTATACAGTCCATGGAGTTCTCCAGGCCAGAATACTGGCGTGGGTAGCCTTTCCCTTCTCCAGGGGATCTTTCCAACCCAGGGATCGAACCCAGGTCTCCCGCATTGCAGGCAGATGCTTTACCAGCTGAGCCACCAGGGGAGCCCACCAGGGGCCCAATTTTTATAGGGCCTGGTGCCATGTTTATGCTTTATTTAGGAACCATGGGAGGAAACCAGAGGCTTTTATGCTGGACAATGACATGATCCAGTTTATGCTTTCAAGGTCTGTGACCTTGGGAAAGCCATTAGGTCTCTGAGCTTGTATTTTTCTCCTCTGTAAAATGTAGATGAGAATCAGGTGAATTTTTGAAGGAGCCTATAAAGATTAACTGAGAAAATGTGTGAAATGAGATAAACCTACTTGAAAATGGCTGGGCCTTGGCAGACTTCTGTAAAGGTTTTCCTTTCTAAAAGAAACCACAAATTGTCACTCACCCGGAAAGTCCTTTCTCTTTTGACCAACCTAGACACATTTGGTCTTACAGTTTTACTTTTCTATTCACTTAGCTTGCATCCAAATTTGGCTCATGTCTGCTCCCTCCTCATTCTTTTGTTGAGAACTTTGCACACGTACCATGTGGAGTGATTGCATTTCATACATCTTTTCCATTGTTAATCATTCCAAATCCGGTTTCCATGATTTCATCCCTCTCTCAGGGCCGAGCTCCTTTCCCTGTTTAACATTTATTTCAGTTATCTTGCACAGGTCTTATTTAGATTTCTCCTGGGCCGTCCCACTTTACATAGATTTTAGCTGAATGCAGATGATGGTGATTTGATCATCAACCTGGCGGGAGAGAAAGCTCACCACATCTGGAAGGATGAGCTGGTGACGGAGAGCACCTTGGAGCCAAACGGAACGGGGTCCAAGTTCTAGCGTTTCTCTTCTCTTGCCGTATGGCGAGCCTCAGTTTCTTCCTGTAGAAAATGCGGGTATAGATAGGACTGGTTGGGGCCCTGAGGCTGTTGGGCCTGGGCAGCTGGTAGGCCTTCAGCAGCATTAGGTCATGTCTTCCCATCAGGCCACCTCCCCCAGCCATGCCTCATCTTTGCTTTTTACAGTGATGGCCTTTGGCCCGATTTCCAGCATGCACCTTCTCAGAATCCATGGGCCTCCCTATAAACATCTCTCTGTAATTCACGAACTATGGTCTTTGGGGTTAGACTGACTTGGGTTCCAATACCAATTCTACTGCTTACCAGCTGTGTCACTTACACTCACAGAGACTGACTCTCCTCGTGTGCTGGTGGGAGATATGAAAAGCCCCAGCCTCCCAAGTTATCCCAAGTATCAACTGAAATAATGTTCTGGAGGGCTTTCCTGGTGGCTCAGGTGGTAAAGAATCCGCTTGCAATACGGGAGACCCAGGTTTGATCACTGGGTCAGGAAGATCCCCTGGAGAAGGGCATGGCAACCCACTCCAGTATTTTCGCCTGGGAAATCCCATGGACAGAGGAGCCTGGTGGGCTACAGTCCATGGGGTCACAAAGAGTTGGACACAACTGAGCGACTCACACATACACACACACAATGTTCTGGAAACACTCAAGATAGTACCTGGTGTATTATAAGAGTTCAACCAATAGTAATTGCCCTCACACATTATTGCAGCTTTGGATGCAAAACTCCTTGCAAGCAAGGGCTGCATTTTTTCCTCTTTGTCTGCCCTTGGCATGGTGGAGCACTGGCATCCAGTGGGCCCTCAGCTGGTTTTAGTTCCTTTCATCTCCTATAACAAAAATAGAGTGGCTTGGCTGCCAAGTTGGCTAGAACACTGGCATCCCCATAAAAACCCTACCTGTTTACACAAATGCCACTTTCTAAGATCCTAAGAGGCAGGGCAGGATCGCAAACAGCAAACGCCTCCAGACTTTCTTGAGCAATCCAGCTCCTGGCCACTATTCTAGGGCAAGGCTGAAGGAAGCCGTGACCACAGGAGGGCTTCTCTGAAGGGAAAGGCCTTGCTTTTTAAGAGCTGCTTTTCTTATTTATGTGTTCTCTTCTCATTATTTCACTGAGAAACCTTTTTAGAATTTCACTGGGAGTCGAAAAACACATTTTGCCAAATTCCGAGGTCTTGTAACCACAAGGCCTGGTCCCTGTGACCAAACCAAGACCAAACCGTAACCTTCTGGCACTGGACGCTGTTTACTGCTGGCGAAAGACCACTTTGGGTTTCACAGTAAAAAGGGTTAGAAAATTGTATGAAAGGGCTCAGAAGACTCACGGACATCAAATAGCTCTTACAAAACCAATGTTGTAATTAGTTAAGTATAAATGAATCAGAACCATATGGCTTAAAAGTTAAAGGAAAAAGGAGTTGGAGAAAAAAAAATGTCCTTTGGGATTTAATCAAACAAAAAATGCTGGAAAAATGGTTGATGTTCACCAAGCTCAGACCCCATCTGGGTACCCCCCCTCAGTCCCCTCCAGCTTTTTCCTCCCTCCCTGGTTCTCCCCAAGAGGCAGGGGTGACTGCTGGGCCCTGCTCCCCGGATGCTGGGCGTCAGCGGGGTGGAGCAGATGTGTCGCAGCGGAGAGCTTGGAGATGTGTCTGAGCTTGGAGAGAAGCTCAGAGCATCTGGGGAGCAGAGAGAAGGGGTGTTCAGGCTGGTCCTTGGCTTCCCTGTAGAGATGATACTGAGTCAGCCTACGGGCAGAAGAGGAACTGGGGAGGTGGGGTGAAGATGGCATCTTGGAGGAGGCAGAGCTCATGCACATGCGCAGGGGAGGGACCACATGTTGGACAACCACGGAATTGCATGTGTTTTGTATGGGCTGGTTCTCCACTCATATGGATGCCTTGCTGACCACAGGATCTAAATGCGCCCGGTCCTTCCCCTGTCACTTTCTATCACACCACCCTCTTGTGTTATTTTGTGTGTGTGTTTGATTGTTCGATACTTCTTTTTTTTTTTTCCGCTGAGCTGTGCATCTCGTGCGATCTTAGCTCCCCAACCAGGGAGTGAACCCGGGCCCTTGGCAGTGAAAGCACAGAGTTCTAACCACTGGACAACCAGGGAATTGCGTGTATGGCACTTTGCACAGTCTGCAACCCTCCTACTTCTTTCTTTCTCTCGCTGGCATCTACACTGCACTAGAAGGTGAGCTTCCTAAGAGAAGGATCTCATTTTTTTGTCTCCCCCAGCTGCATCCCTAGCAGCTGACAGAGTATCAGATTTGGAATGACTGCCCAATAAGTACCTGGGGAATGAACGGATGGGAAATCAGTGAATAAGTAGATGCAGGTAGAAGTCGTGAGGGACAGGGAAGGCAGAAAAGCTGGAGAAGCAGGCAGGAGTCAGGTCCTGAAAGACTGCAAATTGTGCAAAGAGGTTTCTGAAAGCCATAAAGGATTTCCAGCAAGGATGTGACAAAGTCAGCACTGTATTATTTTGGAAGCAAAGAACGAGGGTGGGAACCCTGGAACCCAGGAGAAAGTGAGCGGCAGAGCACGTCCCGTGTTTGTCATGCCTTCCCCAGCCATCTCTTAAAGGCATGTAATGGAGCGCTCCGTATAGAATAGGTACTTAATAAATGCTGCCGAGTTCATCAATGATAAATGCTTTGGCTCCCAGTGGCGACATACAAGCCATTATTTTCTCATTTAGAAAATGGATCTTGTGGCTAACTGTGGAAAATCATCTTCCAGAAGAAAGAAAAAGAGAGATGTGTATGTCTGCTCTGTCTCGAATGTTTTCACTGAACCAGATTCTCTTTCCGTAGGGTGGCTGCCCTGGGCAACTCTCAGGTTACACGGAGCTGGGCCGGGGTTTCTCTGACATTTCAGCAGAGTCACGGGTGGGTGGGATGGGAAGCTCTGGGCTGCAAAATAGGTAAGTTGCTCAATGTCCCTGGAAAACCTCTGAGGACAGAACTGAGTGTTGCTTTAGGTGCGAAGGCATCTTTATGTTAGGAAAGAAATGCACAGCCCAGGCTCCTGGAGTCATTAATATCTGTGTGTTATTGTTGGAGGCTCCACAGGAGGCTGGACTTGGCAGCCTTAGTGGGTGACTGTGCCCTGTCCCCAGCCCACATCAGCGACGTACCCGTATCACAGAGGCAGTGCGTGTGCCCCGCTGCTTCTCTGCTCTGGGGCCGGGAGGCCTGTGCAGAAGGCACTGTCATCACCACGCTGGCTCTTACTGGGTTTGCCACGTGTGCCTGCTCTCGTTCTGGGTGGACCATCTCCTTGGACTCTCATGGCTTTTTCCTGCTCAGAGTAGACGCTCAGACAGGTGAAGTTGCTTGCTCAAGGTCACAGACAAGATCAAGGGAGGCTTGCGTACTACCCCTCTCAGCTTCCTCGGGTCACTGTGACCCCTGCAGAGGGAGTTGGTGGGAAACCCAAGCCTACACCCTCCCTCCATGCCACATGACTTCTGCCCCAGGTCACGTGGAGAAGCTTCTGCCTTCTCTCCTGGGTTTAAATAGTAGCACCTGCAGCGAGCATTTGTGGGTTTGGGGCTCTTCAGCAGCCAGCCTGCCCTGTAATAGCCCCTCATTTCCCCAGAGAGGCTCGCCTTCCTGCCCTCGTGTGTTGTCGTGGTTGGGGAGGTGCGGTTCCCCCCACCGCCTCCACGGAAGCAGAAGCTGCCGGTTCTCGCTCCCTCCACTCCAGCTGTACCCAGGGTGTGGGCGTGGGATCCAGGTGGGGGCACCCAGGTGTTCTCCCAGGCCCGGCACCTTACGTGAGTGGTGCAGAGCGGGGAGGCAGGGCTGGGGGCACCCCAACCAGCGGCCGCAGTGGCGTGCCGGCCGTCTCTTCCCATGACCTTACCAAGGCCCTGTTGCTTAAGCCTCCAGCAATCTCCTGGTTTCTGGCCACGTTCCAGACTTCATCACTACTCTCTGCCAATTCTCTGAGCCCCTGATAGCCTTCTAATAAATTCCATTTGATTACCACACAGCTTGTAATCAAGAACCCTGACTAATACATAACTGTTTAGTAAACCCTAAGCACGGGCCAGACGGTTTACATGTGACGTCTTGTCGGATTCCTGAACGCCGCAGTGAGGAAAGTGGGGGTACACCTGCTGTCCAGGGGAGGATGGGGCGGTTCAGGGAGCGGCAGTGACATGCCCACGGTCGCACGGCTGGGGAGACTCAGCCCTTGAATTCAAACTCAGGTTTTCCTAATTCTGGACTCCACAATTTATTAACTTTCCTTTTCATCAGCCCCGATTTCCAGTGTCTCAGAGAGGTGGTGCTGGCTGGCCCCGGCCTTCCAACATATAACCTATATTGCGGGCCTGAGACTCGTGGCAAAAATACTTTCAAAATCTAATTTGCTCACACCCATGAACACCTGCCAGGAAGAAATTTGAGGCGTTTGGTCTAAACATGGAAAAGCTGAGTTCACTTACCCCAGAGGGGCACCCGCAGAGAGAGGGAGAAAAGGCTTTAACCCTTACCTTGAGTCAGAAAAGGATACCACCACACTCTCCTTTCATTCCTCGACTGTCAGAAAGTTCTGAGGGAACTTTGCTGCCGAGATGCATTTTAAGATGTGAGGGAGGAAGAAATCCATGGAAGCTGTAATTCTGTAAATATCTGTGCCTTCTCTATTGTGAGTTTGCTGGGATATTTAAAAGAAGTTTGAGCTGTGTTTAAGGAATCCATTTAGTTTCATGCAGCTTCCTCAGGGGAAAGTTTGGGGTTTTTCAGATTCAAGAAGTTTGGGATTTGAGAGACCTGACGTGTTGACTCCCCCCCACCCAGCCACCCTACTGTTACCAGTGCCTCGTCAAGACTGTACTTTCTTAATGATGAGAAGAACAGCCATGTGGGTGAATCTGTAGTTGAGAATTAAGGGAAAAGAAATGACATCATGTGGTCTTCTGCTAATGGAAGTGCAGAAATCCAGACTCAAACAGAACATGTGCATCCAGCAACTGGATGCAGAATTCGTGTTTTGTTGCTGAACTGACCAACCACTCTGCTATCACAGATTTGGAAGGTTCTACACTATTTCTTGGGCATGGTCATACTTTAGGACAGAATCTCAGATTTCTCAGGAATCATGACTTTTGGTTCAGGCTTAAGGGGCTGCCTTAACTGTACACATCTGGAGATGAAGGGGTCTGGAGGAGCAGATGGCAAACTATCCATGTGACTTGGTGAAGATGAAGTAGGGCAGAATGAAGAGGATGCCCATCTGGAAGCCCAAGTGATTTTGAATCCTGGGAATGGTTATAAATCCTATGATTATATCCTGATATTTCTGGTCATTAGCCAAGCTCTGGGCAAAGTTTGGTCCCACGTGTATATGTGAACGAATGTATATTAGTTTTCAGTGGGATTGTGACCATTGAAACTTATCTACTCTGCAGTGGAAAAGGCTGGCTGTAAGGAAGAGAAATCCATTTAAAATAGCTCAGATGAAAGAGTGATTAATAAAAGGGATTCTCATGGAAAGAAAGTGCAGAGTGCAGCCGGCCTTTGGGAACTGGAAAGTGGTCTGGCAACTCCTCTTCCCATTTCTCCCTTTGTGGTGCCGCCTGGCATCTGTTTCTCTCTGAGAGGCAACAGACCAGCCTTTCCGCCTTCTTGTGGTTTCTGTCTCTCCACAACGTTGGCTTGCACCAAGATTTTGGCACTACTTCCGATCCCATCTCCATGACTCTACAAATTTAGCACCATCCTTCATGGTTGCCATCTCTGGGAATCTCTGCTATTGTTTGGGAGAGTGTATCAGTTATCTATTACCATAGTAATGCTGCATAACAATCATTGACACCTCAGTGCTGAGTAACAATAAACATTTGCTGTTGTGTACTAGTCAGTGGATTGCTGGGTGGTTTGGCTGGTCCGAGCTGAGCTGAGCTGAGCTTGGCAGGACTCACGTGTGCATCTGTGGTCAGCTTTGGGTAGCTGGGTGGCTTTGTGAATCTTGAATGGGCTTTCTCACATGTTTAGACCTCACCAGGCACAAACAGGTTGGCTGGGCTCTGTTCTGTGTGCCTCATTCTCCAACAGGCCAGCTCAGTCCTGTTCTCATGGAGAAGCCAGGAAGCAAGCAAGAAGGAGTTGGTGACACTCGCAGCCTTAGAGCCCGAGTCTGAGAGCTGTATCCCGTGGCTTCTGCTGCGTTCTCTTGTCCAAAGCAAGTCACAGACTCAGCCTAGAATCAAGGAAAGGTGACAGAGGCTCTACCTTTTCCTTTTGTCTTTAATCTTCACTTTTATTTTTTAAAATTTATTTTATTGACGTATACTTGATTTACAATGTTGTGTTAATTTCTAGCGTACAGAGAAGTGACTCAGTTATACCTTATATATACATTCTTTTTCATATTCTTTTCCATTATGGTTTATTGTAGGATGTTGACTGTGGTTGCCTGTGCTGCATAGTAGAACCTTGTTGTTTATCCATCAACAAGGATAATAGTGTAATAGTTTGCATCTGTAATCCCAAACTCCCGCTCCTATTCCCCTTGGTAGTCACAAGGCTGTTCTCTTGTCTGTGAGTCTGTTTCTGTTTCATAGATAAACTCATGTGTGTCATATTTTAGACTCTACATGTAAGTGATATCGTATAGTGTTTGTTTATTTTCTGACTTACTTCACTTAGTATGAAACTCTCTAGGTTCATCCATGTTGCTGCGGATGTATTCCACTGTGTATATACATACCACATTTTTATCCGCTCATCTGTGGAGGGAACCTGCAGGCCCCAAAGAGCAGAGCGGAACACTGAGGCACAGAATAGATTCCAGAGTCTGAGATACTGAATCAAGCCATGTGTGAACTCAGTCTGATCCTGGACTATTTATTTACATATATTCCCTATTATTTCAGCCCATTCTAGTTTAAATTTTCTGTTACTGTTTACTTAAAAGGTCTTGATCAGTGTCATTCCATTACAAATATAGCAGAGAGAGTGATGGTTATGTAAACTATATGAGTATAGACCCATCAACATTGGAAGTATATGTGTATCTATTTCTTCAAAAACTTTTCTGATTTTTTTTCTTTGTAGGTTTGTGTTGTAGATTTTGCCTATCCTAGATTTTCACAGAAATGTAATTATACAGTATGTATTATTTTGTGCCTGGGTTCTTTTGTTCCTTCTCTTTGCTAAGCAGTACTCCACTTTGTGACTGTATCTCAGTTTGTTTGCTCATTGGCCTCCTGACGGGCATTTGGGTCGTTTCCAGTTTAGAGCTATAAGGAACACAGCTGCTCTGAGGGCTCCTGTAAATGTGTTTTTGTGAACATGTGTTTTCATTCCTTTTGGGTAAATACCTAAAAGTAAAATTGCTGGGGTAAAAATTACAAAGGGGTAAAAATTAAAAATAAAATGATAAGGTAAGTGATGGAAGAGTTAAGGAGGGAAGTGTTGTCACTCAGTCGTGTCCGACTCTATGTGACCCCATGGACTGCAGCCCACCAGGCCCCTCTGTCCACGAAATTCTCCAGGCAAGAGTACTGGAGTGGATAGCCATTCCCTTCTTCAGAGGATCTTTCTGACCCAGGGATCAAACCTGGGTCTCTTGCATTGCTGGCAGATTCTTTACCATCTGAACCACCAGGGATTATAGGGTAGGTGTATACTGAATCTTTTTAATATTTTTTGGGGGGGTTGGTAAACAACTTTATTGATTACAATTCACTGATAATTAACTTTATAGGAAATAGCCAGATGGTTTTCTGAAGTGATTGTACTATTTCATATTTCCAATAATAATGTATGAGAATTTCTATCGTGTCACATCTTACCCAACATTTAAAATTGCTGGTGTTTAGCTATCCTAGTTAGTGGCTATGTGGAGGTATCTCATTGTAGTTTTAATTTTCATTTATCTGATGACAAATGATGTTGAGGACTTTGCTGTATTCTCAAGGGTCATTAGCATGTTCTTTGTGAAATGTTTGTTCAAAGCTTTTGACAACAAAGTAATTTAGATATTTTTGTTTTGGGGTTGTGGGAGTGTGTTACATATTCTGGGTACAAATCCTTTGTCAGATACATGTTTTGCAAATGTTTTCTCCTAGTCTGTCAGTTGCTTATTCACATGCTGTGATGGTGTCTTCTGATAAGAAGAAGTGTTAATTTTGATGGACTCTAATTTGTCAACTTTTTCTTTTATTGTTTTTGCTTTCTGAGCTTTAAGTAATTTTTGCTTTACCCAGGTTCAGGAAGATATTCTACTTTTTTCATCTAGAGACTTTATAGATTTAACTTTTATGTGTAGGTATGTAATTCATCTTAAATTAGTTTTTACATATGGTGGAAGGTAGGTGTTATGGGGTTTGTTTGTTTTTATTTTTTAAAATTTGGACATCTAGTTGTTTTAGCATCATTTATCAAAAACGCTTTCTATTTCCCAATTGCTTTGTTGCTTTTTTTTTTTTTTTGAAGAAAGAAAACCTATTGATTGTACATGCGTAGTTCTGTTTCTGAACTTTGGTTCTCTTCCATTGAATCATCTTTTTGCCATTCCTATAGCCTAGTGATTATTGTATATATTACTACATATAGTAAGTCTCGAAATCAGGTAGAATTAAGTCCTTGGCAGTTTTGTTCTTTTCTTTCAATATTTGTTTTTTTCATGCCCTTTGAAGTTTCACATGAATTTTAGAACCACCCTGTTGATTTCTGTAAAATACTCTGCTGGAGCAATGAGCACACCTTGTGTCCAGATCTTGATTGCCTAAAAGGAACCAGGGATCCTCAGAGAAATGGCTGATTTCATGGTTGAAGTAGAGTGAATATAAGATAAGCCTGAAATATTCTGTTATGCTGGAAAGCAAAATGATGGGACAAGTCACAAAGCATTGGAGCCAGATTGAAGGGGCTCTTGCTGGTCAAATAAGGGACAATCTGAGTAGCAAGATAATTAAGGGCAACAATTAACCATAAGACATGGAAAAACAGTGATTCATGATGTCATACTGATAATAAATAAATAGGTCAGAAAGGAGAACTCTGACTTGCAGCAGAAAACTGTTGACTGATTGATTAATATGAAGAATGCTAGAGTTAAAAAATTATTCTGCAACCATCATGTCAAAGATGATTCAGGCAAACATACTTACTCAACAGATGCTAAGCCCAGGAGAGGATTTTGATGAGGAGTGGTAAATTTGCATGATGTCTTTCCACAGATAAGTACTAATTGAAAGTGAAAAATAGTAACTATACAATAGAGAAATTGGGGAATACCTCCTTCATATGATCAAATTTCACATCAACTTTGAGGGGTAGATGGATGTTGTTTACCTTCAGAAGCAGTGACCTGAGAAGGACACAGCATCACAGCCTGGAATACAAAAGTTGAATCTAACTATAAGGAGATTGCAGGGGGAAAGTCTATTTTAGAAAAGAAGGAACCAAATTCCTTAAAAATATCAGTGCTGTATAAGGCAGAAGGTTGGGGATTTATTCCAAATTAAAGGAGACTGAATCAGTGCAGTGAGCAGTACTCAGTCATGTCAGACTCTGTGACCCCATGGACTGTAGCCTGCCAGGCTTCTCTGTGCACAGAATTCTCCAGGCAAGAATGGGTGGCCATTTCCTTCTCCAGGAGATATTCCTGACCTGGGGATCAAACCAGAGTCTCCTGCATCGGCAGGTGGATTCTTTACCACTGTGCCACTGGGAAGCCGGAAGGAAACTGAAAAGATATGACAGTTAAACTCAATATCTGATCCCCGATTAGATTCTAAAATAAAGAGAACAAATTCTACATAGCACATTGTTGAGTCAAAATTGACAAAATTAGAATTGGATAAAATTTTGTATCAATGTTAAATTAGATAAAAATTGGATTAGATAAAACTATCATATCAATTTAAAATGTACTGAAAT